AATTCATATGGAAAGACAAAAACCTAAGACAATTTAGAATAACTAAAATAGTTTTGGGAAAAAAGAAGAATAAAGTGGAGGAATGGGAATAATTGATTTTAAGACTTATTACAGAGGTACAGCAATCAGGAATAAATGATATTGGTTTAAAGAAAGACACATAGATCAATGGAAGGGAATCCTAAAATCAGCCCCTACAAATATGCCCAACTGGTGTGTGTGTGTGTGTGTGTGTGTGTTTAGCACAAAGCAGTCTCTATTATAATGACTAAAGTAAACAAAACATGATCATTAAAATAATTTTTAAATTTTTTTTATTTTTCAATTCCAGTATAATTAACATACAGTGTTATATTAGTTTCAGATGTACAATATAGTGATTCAACAATTCTAAACATTACTCGGTGTTCATCATAATAACTGTACTCTTAGTCCCCTTGACCTGTTTCACACACCACCAACACCACCACCGCCCCCTGCCCCCACCGCCTGGTAACCATCAGTTTGTTCTCTATAGTAAAGAGTCTGCTTTTTGGTTCTCTTTTTTTCTTTGTTTGTTTTGTTCTTAAATTCCACAATAGAGTGAAATCATATGGTATTTGTCTTTCTCTGACTGACTTGCTTCACTTAGCGTTATACCCTCCAGATCCATCCATGTGGTTGCAAATGACAAGATTTCATTCTTATTTTTGTGGCTAAGGAATATTCCATTGTATACATATACATCTTCTTTGTCCAGTCATCTATCAGTGGACACATGGGTTGTTTCCATATCTTGACTATTGTAAATAATGCATTTTTAAAAAGATTTTATTTATTTATTTGGGGGGGGCACAAGTGGGAGGTAAGACAAAGGGAGAGGGAGAAATAGATTGCCGCTGAGCAGAGACCCTGACATGGGGCTCAATCCCAAAACCCTGAGATCATGACCTGAGCCAAAGGCAGACACTTAACCAACTGAGCCATCCAGGCATGCCTGCATGTATCTTTTTGAACTAGTGTTTTCATTTTCTTTGGGTAAACACCCAGTAGTGTAATTACTGGCATAGGGTAATTCTGTTTTGGTTTTTTTTTTTTTAAGTTTTTGAGGAACCTCTGTACTCTTTTCCAGAATGGCTGTACCAGTTTGCATTCTCATCAACACTTCAAGAGGGTTCCTTTTTCTCCATAACCTCACCAACACTTGTTGCTTGTGTTTCTGATATTAGCCATTCTAACAGGTGTGAGACGATACCTCATTGTGGGTTTTGAGTTGCATTTCCCTGATGGTTATTGATGTTGAGCATGTTTTCATGTGTCTGTTGACCATCTGTATGTCTTCTTTAGAAAAATGTCTGTTCATGTCCCCTGCCCATATTTAATTGGATTATATGTGTTTTTCTGGCATTGAGTTATGTAAGTTCTTTGTATATTTTGGGCATTTACCCCTTATTGGGTATATAATTTGCAATTATCTTCTACTGTTCCATGGATTTTTTGTTTTGTTGATGTCTCCTTCACTGTGCAAAATCTTTTTGTTTTACTGTTGTTCCAAAAGTTTATTTTTGTTTTCGTTTCCCTTGCCTCAGGAAACATATCTAGAAAAATGTTTCTACAGCGGAGGTCAAAGAGATTACTGCCTATGTTTTCTTCTAAGAATTTTATGGTTTCAGGTCTCACTTTTAGGTCTTTAAACTCAAAATAGAGTTTATTTTTGTGTACAGTGTAAGAAAGTGGTGTAGTTTCATTCTTTTGCATGTAGCTGACCAGTTTTCCCAATACCATTTGTTGAAGAGACTGTCTTTTTCCCATTGCATGTTCTTGCCTCCTTTGTCATAGATTAATTGTTCATATAACCAAGGGATTACTTCTGAGTTTTCAGTTCTGTTCTGTTGATCTATGTGTCTATTTTTGTGCCATTACCATACTAGTTTGATTGCTACAGCTTCAATCCAAGACTGTGATAGCTCCAGTTTTGTTCTTCTTTTTCAAGATTGCTTTAGCTATTTGTGGTCTTTTGTGGTTTCATACAAAGTTTAGGATTATTTGTTCTAGTTCTGTGAAAAACGCTGTTGGTATCTGCTAGGGATTTATGCCCAACTGGTTTTTGACAAAGGTGTGAGAGCAATTAAATGAAGGAAACATAGGCTTTTGAACAAATGGTGGTGGAGCAATAGGATATCCATAGGCAAAAAACAAAAACAAAAAACAAAAACAAAAAAACTCCAAAAAAAAGCATGACCAAAGTTTCCAAACATAGGGAAAAACACAGGAGAAACTCCCCAGGATGTAGGGCTAGGCAAAGACTTTTTAGACCAAAATCCTGATCCATTAAAGGAAAAGTAGATAAATTGGACTTTATCACAGTTACAAACATTTGCTCTTCAAAAGATATTAAGAGGATGAAAAAACAAGCCACAGATTGGGCAGAACTATTTACAAACCATGTATCTGACAAAGGACTAGAACTGAGAATATATAAAGAATTCTAAAAATTAAATATTAACAAACCACAAGTAGAAAACGGGCAAAATACATGAACAGACATTTCACTGAAGAGGATATTCAGCTTGAAAATAAGCACAGTAAAAATGTTCAACATCCTCAGCCATTAGGGAAATATAAATTAAAATCACAACAAAATACTACTACTAGAATGTCTTTAAAAAATGATGACAATGTCAAATGCTGACAAGGATGCAGAGAAATTAAATCACTCATAGATATATTGCTGATAGGAATGAAAATGGGACAACTACTCTGGAGAGCAGTTTTTCTAAAAAACGAAACATGCAAGCACCATAAGACCCAGCAATTGTACTCCTCAGCATTTATTCCAGATAAATGAAAACCTGTGGTCACACAGAAATACCCTGTATACAAATATTTGTAGCAGTTTTATTCAGGTTCTCTGAAAACTGGAAATAATCTAGCTATTTATCAGTGGGAGAAAAGATAAACAAAATGTGTTCCATCCTTACCATGGAAAACTACTCATCAAAAAAAAAGAAACAGACTATTGTTACATGCAACCACCTGGATGAGTCTCCAGAAAATTATGCTAAGGAAAAAAAAAAAGTGAATTCCAAAAGTTTATACATTGTGTCATTCCATTTATATAACACAGATTTGTGTTTCCGTGGGAGTGGGGGTGGATATAAAAGAAGAACATGAGGGATCCATGTGGTGATAGAAATGTTCTGTGGGGCGCCTGGGTGGCTCAGTGGGTTAAAGCCTCCACCTTCGGCTCAGGTCATGATCCCAGGGTCCTGGGATTGAGCTCTGCATTGGAATCTCTGCTCAGCGGGGAGCCTGCTTCCCCCAATCTCTCGCTCTGCCTGCCTCTCTGCCTACTTGTGATCTCTGTCAGTCAAATAAATAAAATCTAAAAAAAAAAAAAAAAGAAAGAAAAAGAAATGTTCTGTATCCTGACTATATCAATGTCAATATCCTAATTGTGACATTGGCAAGACATTACCATTAGGGAAAACTGGGTAAAGGGTACAGAAGATCTCTCTGTATTATTCCTTACAACTGTATGTGAGTCTACAATTTTCTCAAAATAAACAAAATTAATTAAGATGTTACCTTTGTGGTTTCTCTCTTGTCTGAACCCTGAATGATCCAATACCCTTCATCAGACTGGGGAATTTCTCTTCTCTTCCTAGTTTGTTCCAGTTTGCGGGGAGTTTTAGTCAGGGTGGGTGTTGATTTTTGCCAACTGCTTTTTTTGCACCTACTGAAAATAATCATATGGTTTTTCATATTATATTATTTGATTTTATAATGTTAAACCAATCTTGCATTCCTGGGATGAACATTACTTCATCATGATGTATTAATTCTTTTATACATTGCTGGATTCAATTTGCTAATATTTGCTTAGGATTTCTACGTCTATATTAAGAAATGTCTTTCAGATAGCTAAGGGAGGGAAGTTACTAGTTTTCTAAAATTAAAAAAGACCTAAGCAAAAATAGTAAAATATCAAAATTTGACAAGGCTGGATGATGGGTAAAACAATAATTTGTTACATTATTGTCTACAATTTCCTGCTTTCTTATTTTCGTTTTTCTTTCTTTTCAATTGAATAGTCCATGCCTTTAGCTTGGAAGATAAATTCAGAGGACAGATTGAGGATCTAATAACCAAGTTGTTTACGCTATTAGGACTAAGGGGTGGGATAGCCTTCTGTATCCTCTTCAGCTGGAAATAGGCCTAACAAAGTTGGTACTCAGTGAAAGTTTATTGAATTAGTTCAATTTATTTGAATGACAATCTGAAACAACAGAATGGATACTGTGGTCCAGCTCCACCCTCAGGACCCAGCCAGTCATTTCCCCAGCTTCTGATAGTAGGCTGCTTCTGGCTCATAATTCTTCTCTCGGAATTGCCTTCCACAGAAGAAGTTGCCTTGCCGAGAGTTACAGATAGAGCCTCTATCACAGCTCAGTGATAGGAATAAAAACTTCTGGCCCCTGTTCTTTAATTCAGAATAACTCTTAAAGGTCATCCCCGGTTCAGAGCATTCTTTGAGACAGGTTGAGGCCTCTATAGCAACTGTTTCAGGTTAACTTCTCCCGCTGCGAATCCTGGTTCCATCACTCTTACAGCTTCCCATCATACCTTTCTGCACGTTCACCTCCTTTTCGCTCTTTTCCTCGGGTAATTCCACCCAGGACACACATTACCCTATTTTATATTCTTTTCCTAACAGTTTTCAGTATGTGAGATAACCTTACTTAATGCTTTAATACTTGCTTATTGTCTGCAATTAGACTGTAAGCTTCCCAGCACAGCCTTTTCCCGCCATACACTGTGCACCACTGTATCAAGCGCCCACTGGTTGTTGAATGAGTGGAAGAGACACACCTGATACTGGGTCTTGGGCCGACAATCTCTCTATAGCCTGCGACCAGCGCTTAGGAGCCGCCACTGGGGACGTGCCTCTGAGTCCCCGCCCCTTCTGTCTCGCTTCCAGCCCAGGCAGGGGGCGGGACCTAGCAGATTCCCCTGCTGAAGCTATGCGGCAGCTAGCGGTACGCCTGGTGCTGCTGGGCCGGCTACCCTACAACGAGCTGCTGGCCCTGCAGGAGCGCTGGTTGCGGCGGCTGCAGGCCGAGCCAGGCACTGAGGCCCTGTCAGGGACTGAGGCGGGCGCACTCCTGCTCTGCGAGCCCGCGGGACCCGTGTATACGTCCGGGCTGCGCGGCGGCCTGACGCCGGAGGAGACGGCGCGGCTGCGGGCTTTGGGCGCCGAGGTACGCACCACAGGCCGCGGCGGCCTGGCCACCTTCCACGGCCCAGGCCAGCTGCTCTGCCACCCAGTCCTAGACCTGAGACGCCTGGGCCTGCGCCTGCGCACCCACGTAGCGGCGCTGGAGGAGTGCGCCGTGCGCCTGTGCGAGTTCCAGAACTTGCACGGCGCCCGCGCCCGGCCTCCGCCCTACACCGGCGTCTGGCTCGGGGAGCGCAAGATCTGCGCAATAGGTTAGTGCGGTGGGCCGGGGGCGGGGCTTGGTGGGACTGGACCAATGTAGAGGAGAGCAAACTTGGGCTGGGCGGAAGTGTATCTGGCGCGGGCTTTGAATCAGAACTACCAGCTGCGTTTGATGTTTTAAGCTTTCTCACTGATCTCATATTCGCAGCCTTCAGGAGGGCCCTCAGTGGTTATCCCATCCAACATTCATCTTTTCGAGGAGTTGCCAGGTTACTTCCAATGAGTCACAATGCCTGGACGATAATGGAGTTTAGTAATCTTCAAACAAACAAAAAAAATTTTTTTTAAAGCAGCAGAATATCTGTTAAAAGATATTTTCTGGAATCTCCATAATAAGTGCAGGAGCTGTGGAGCCACACACCCCCCCCCCCCCCCCCCCCCCCCCCCCCCCCCCCCGCCCCATCTATGCCCAAGCTCTTGGGTGTTTCAGAAACAAAGCTGGAAAACCAGTGATGGAGTCCAATTCCTTCATCAGACTGAGGGGCATCCTGAAGCCTGGGAAGGGTATCTACTCTGAGGCCCTTTTTCTTGTCTTGCAGGAGTCCGCTGTGGAAGGCACATCACATCCCACGGCCTGGCTCTGAACTGTTCTACAGACCTTGTGTGGTTTGATCACATTGTCCCCTGCGGGCTGGTTGGGACAGGTGTCACCTCTCTGAGTGAGGAGCTCCAAAGGCATGTCACTGTGGATGAAATAATACCACCTTTCCTTGACGCCTTTAAAGAGACCTACAAGTGCACGTTGATCTCAGAAAACAGCTCCAACTGATGAGTGTTCATGTTATCACAGCTGGGAGGTCCTACTTGAAAAGCACCCAGACTGACTTGGGAGTCACTGAAACCCAGATTCTAGAGTTGGCCCTGTCATTCATTCACCATGAGACTATGAGCGAAGTATGAGCTCTTAGCCATTGTTTCCCTATGTCTGCTGGCTTATTTATATCTTCTCACCTACCTCAGATATGGTAGATGCAAAAACATTATGAAAAGCAACACATGATGTATAAATGGAAGACATTAGCACTACTATTGACCCCCCCATTTTCTCAGCTTAGAGAAACTCAGATATAGAGAATCAGTTTTCGAGTATTTACCACTTTCTAAATAATGTATTTAATTTGGTGATTCTGGGCTCTAGTTCCTTTGATTTTGGGGGGGAATCATATCTCTAGATAGCCCAGGTGAAAGTGATATGGTGGGGAGCTTTCCGCAATAAAAGGAAAAGGGAAAGGAATCTTTAAAGAATAAAATGGGATCTTGACTTCCTGCATTGGATTGCCTAGCCTGATAGCTATTTTTAGTTAGGTAACCTGAGCCAGACCAGAGGCCAGGAAAAGACAAGAATAATTTCTCACACTGTACAAATGCCAAAGGTAGAAGTAAGTTTTCCTTAAGTGAGATCTCTAAATTTATAAGGCTGTGTATTAACTACTCATTGCTATGTAACAAGTCACCCCAAAACTTAATGACTTAAAACAATAAACATTATCTCATATATTCTGTGGGTCAGGAATTTGGGAAAAGCTTAGCTGGGTGATTTCTGGGTTGAGATCTCTCATGAGGTGTAGTTAAGATGTCTGCAGGATCAACTGTCATCTGAAGGTTTGACTGGGAATAGAGGCTCTGTTTCTAAGATGGTTCGCTCTGCCTCGTTGGTACTGGTTGATGACGGGGCCTGTGTTCCTCACCATGTGGGCCACTCCATAGAGCTACTTGTTCCCCCAGAGCAACTGATGCCAGAAGAGATAAGGTGGAAGCCACACAGTCTTTTAACAGAGCCTTGGAAGTTAAACAGTCATTTCTACCATTTCCCAATAGATGAACCCGACTCAGTGTGAAAGGGACTACACAGGGTGAGGGAAAGTGAAGATCATCAGGGACCATCTTCAAAACTGGCCAACATAGGCAGTTATGGTGGAAAGATCCTTTAATGAAAGGTGACCCAGGCTGCAGTCCCAGCTCTTTGGGCAAGTCATTTACCTCTCTGGGCTTCAGTTTCCCCTATATAAGCACTGTCCAATAGAAATACAACATGAGCCACACTGTAATTCTGCTTTTACAGTAGCCACATAAAAAAAAGGAAAAATAAACAGGTTGACATTAATAACACTGTAATTAACCTAATATAGAGATGTTTTACATTCTTTTCTCCATGCCATATCTAGATACTCAGTGTGTATTTTCCTTGTAGCTCATCTCATTTTGGAATTTTCACACTTCAGAAGTTCAGTAGCCACATGTGGCCAGTGGCTACCACATTGCAAAGTGCAGCTTTAGGTAGTGTATCTGAAGTCCTGAGCTTCCAGGGTCCTATGGCCCCACTGGCTTCTAGAAGAAGGGTGAGTCTTCCCACTTCTGAGGTTTGATGTTTAACTCTGCACACAGTTTTTATCAGTTATTCAAGCTGGAATGGACTTTGGAGGTATATACCTGCCTCCTTATTGTACAGAGATGAAACCAAGACTTGGGAAGAAACTTATTCAAGGAACACAGAGAGTCAATCACAAAGCCAGGATTGGGTGCCAGATATAAGCCCATTCTCATGTTCTTTTCCTGCTGTGCACATTGACTTAACACTCAGGACAGTATGATTTATAAGTCATGAACACTTGGTCAATATTAGTTGATTGGTGGTTTGTCCACCCATTATTTACCCATATCCCTTTTCTTTTGTTTTCCCTCTATGGAGCCAACAGTGCTATTGTAGGAATGTTGGGGGTGGATAGTAGTTGATAATTACTTTGCAGTATTATTGCCAAAAAGGGAAATAATTATTCCAGGAAAAGTGAGTTAGATTCTCATGGTTGGAAGGCTGTGCACAGTGTTGCTCCCCATCTAGTGTTCAACTACCCTCTCTAGCAACGCTCATAAAGTGACTATACAGGATGGTCTTGAATTCCTCCAGAGACTGGGAAAGAAAAATTTATTCAGCACTTATTTTTAGTACCAGGTACTGTGTTAGCCCTCTTAAGTACATTGTCTCAGTCAGCAGCCTGTCCCATGTTTCTGGAACACTGGGCATCATTCTGCATGGTGTAATGACTGAGTTACCTGACCTTCCTGAGCTGTCATTTCATTAGGCCCAAGGCTTGGCACAGAATAGACATCAGGATATATGTGCTAATTATTAATGTGGTTCACCAGATATTTCAGGCAGGACTGTACTGCGTGACTCCCTTGTGGTTGGTAGGGGCCAAGCAACTTGTTCTGATCAATGAGTTATGAATGGAGGTGACATACCACTTCTGAGCTGGAGCACTGAATTGCTGGTGTCAGGTCCCTTGGGGTTTCTCTTTCCCTCTGGAAGGGTGACCAACAGGACAATGTCACACACTCTAACGGGAGCCTTGGATTTCCAGGCATCCTGGAAGAGCCAAGCCTCCAAGAACAGGTGGACTGTGGGTCACCAGAGCCAGGAGGATGCAGAGCAGAAGGCCAGGAGTCTGCAGAGGCCAGGCCCATGGGATCAGGTCAGGCCCATGGGATCAGGTCAGGTGGCCGCTGTGGGTTCCTGGCTCTTCTTCCTGCCTGGACAGAGCCCACTTCCGGTTTCCCACAAGGGCCCTTCCTCAAGGAAGGAAGCTGAGCTTATGAAGAAGGATTTTTAACACCCTGGTTTTCCTACCTCCAGAAGGCCTCTTCTTGTTTGTACAGAATCTCTTCCTCATAAATAAACAGATTGTCCAGGGTGTGCTACATAGATGCTAAATGTAAGGACGTGACCAGCCACAGTGACTGGTTCGGCATCTCGTTCCTCTGGTGAAGCTGGCAGGAAGCCACAGAGAGCCAGCTCCAGCAGCGTGACCAGATGTAACTTCTTGCAAAAATCCTCTCTCCAAAAGCCCTGTGGAAATCAGATATTTCCAGTATAAATCTGATTCTTCTTTTTACCAAATTACAATTTACCATACATATAATCATATCATATTATAGTATCTATAAAATTTAAAAATAAAACGCTTGTACTCCCACCTGACAACAAATCTCCTACATTTGTGTATCATTGGTGCTTGATCATGAACATACATATTTTAAGTACTTGTCATTATTATGTGGATAAAATTATGTATCTTCTTTTAAACTAAACCTAATATTACATACATTTTCCCACATTGCTACATAATCTTTACAATTATATTTTTGAATGTCTTAATTTTGTTTTTATTTCTTTTAAAACTTAGAATTCAAGGTTTTTCTAAATATAGGTAATGCAAATTAAAAAGGAACAAAATGGTGGCATTGAAATGTAATTCTTGCTCCTATTCTTTTCCCCTGTAAACTCAGTTTCTTTTTCCTGGAGGCCCAAGTGATAGTAAATTGTTTTTTATACACTTCAGAGATATTTTATGCATATATAAGCATGCATGATTATATACATTTTTTCATATATTAACATACTATACTCACAGCATTGCACTTTGGAGGTTGTTTCAGATTCGTATATAAAGAGAATCCTCATTTTTTAAAATGACTGCAGAGAGGGGTGCCTGGGTGGCTCAGTCATTAAGCATCTGCTTTCAGCTCAGGTTTTGATCCCAGGGTCCTGGGACCGAGTCCCATATCCGGCTCCTTCCCCAGTGGGAAGCCTGCTTCTCCCTCTCCCACTCCCCCTGCTTGTGTTCCTGTTCTGTCTCTCTCTCTCTGTCAAATAAATAAATTAAATCTTTTTATTTATTTTTTTTAAAGATTTTATTTATTTATTTGACAGAGAGAGATCACAAGTAGATGGAGAGGCAGGCAGAGAGAGAGAGAGAGAGGGAAGCAGGCTCCCTGCTGAGCAGAGAGCCCCATGTGGGACTTGATCCCAGGATCCTGAGATCATGACCTGAGCCAAAGGCAGCAGCTTAACCCACTGAGTCACCCAGGCTCCCAAATTAAATCTTTTTAAAAAATGACTACAAAGTATTCCATTCAGTGGATTTCTTATGATTTATTTAGCTAGTTCCCTATTGAGGACATTTAGGTTATTACTAACCTTTTGCTTTTACAAGCAAGGCTGCAATGAAAATTCTGTGTGTGTGTGTGTGTGTGTGTGTGTGTGTGTTACATCATACATGGTGAATACAAGGTTGCATCTTTAGAAATGATTTTCTGAGTCAAAGGATATGTACATTTTTATTTATTTTTTTTTAAGATTTTATTTATTTATTTGACAGAGAGAAAGAGATCACAAGTAGGCAGAGAGGCAGGCAGAGAGAGGGGGAAGCAGGCCCCCTGCTGAGCAGAGAGCCCGATGTGGGGCTCGATCTCAGGACCCTGAGATCATAACCTGAGCCAAGGCAGAGAGACATAACCCACTGAGCCACCCAGGCTCTCCATGTGCATTTTTATTTTAATAGATACTGTCATATTGCCTTCCATAAAAGTTACACCAATTTATAATCCCATCAATAATGTACAAGGGAGATGCCTGAATTTTTAATGCTCCAGCATCTTAGATTTTTTTCATTTTTTAAGTTGTTTGATATAAAATCTTTTTAACATACAACAGTGAACCCCATTTATCCATCGGGCAGCTAAAGCAATCATCAACTGATGGCCAATCTTAATTTGTTTAAACTGGGAAGTACTTCTGGCTCACTCCCTGGATTATTGTGAAGCAAATCACAGAAACCATATTATTTCATCCATAAATACCTCAGTATGTATTCCCCAAAGATAAAGGCTCAAAAAAATACTTCAATATCAACAAATATTCAGTTAGTATTCAGATTTTTCTGTTTGCTGAACTTCCTCTTTTTTTTTTTTTTCCCCACAGTTTGTTCAAATCAGGATTCAAATACTGGATTTGGTTCACATGTCTCATAAATGTCTCCTTAGTCTCTTCACCTATAGATTCCTCCCACAACCTTTTTTTTTTTTTTTAAGCTTTTTTCCCCTGTGTTTCCTGAAGCTTGAAAGATAAAGCCTGACACGTGATACAATTTGGCAAGTCAGCTTCATAAGTGCTGGTGTGTTCTTAAGGCATGCAGTATCTTTGTGTTTTTTTTCTTTTTCATGATGATTTTTCCCTAGATTCATTATTTGGTTAGGGAGTTACAAAATTTAATACTCTGATTCTGACATGCTTCTTCACTTACTAGCTGGAGTATGTTGATAAAACTCAACACAACCAGTAGCATCAGTGTTATTGGTATTTTAATTGTTTTATAGTTTTGTTCATATTCAATAAAAGTTTGTATTGAATAAAAAATTATCTATATAAAATATTTGCTCTTATAGTTGCATTAGAGTTTATACCAAGTTAAATTTGAACATATTTAGATTGCCAGCTTTGAGTACCTCAATAATTTTTGAGGAATCCATATATTATTCAAATTCAAGAGACACTGATATAAGGCTAAAGTGTTATATTTTTGTAATACCTAAATCGTGGGTTTTTCTAAGCCCGACACTGTTTGTTTGTTTGTAACCTAGTACGCAGCATGTAAAAGGAAGCAAATTTCATATCTATGTTGTTACAAAGCATTCCCTATCGCCTCCACATTGGTTCTT